TGATATTTGCAAATATGTTTCAACATGTATCTAATATTGTTTAATTGTTTTTTTTTAATGTATTATTTATATTTATTAAAAAACTTTTTTTTTACATTTATTCTTATATGTGAAAATGATGCATGAATAACGAATAATTCTTTTCAAAGTTATTTAATCGAGATAAACTGTTATTTTTTAGTTCTACTAATTAAAATTAAAATAATTTTGTTTACTATCCATAAAATTGAACAATAAATAAATTCAGTCAAATACTGCTCTAAATTACACTAAATTTATGGATAAATTACAGAATATTCGAGCAAAAATTTATTTTCTATATGAAATTTGAAAACCGGCTAAAACCGTTTATTTTAGTAAAATTAAAATTAGAAAATCGGTTTTCTGAAATGTCGGTTTTTATATACGTAAACCCTAGCCCGTATATTACATTTCTAAAATTCTATCGTGATGATTTAAAAAATTACAAAATCAAGACTCATTGCTTAAGTGAATTATTTACACGTATCGAGAAGTATATGCAACTTGCCTTAACGCAAAATGCCACTTACGCCTAGTATATATTTTTTTACATTTTTTTGTGTAGATTATTTCATCTGGAAAAGCTATTAAATATCAATTTTTGTTATGATAGCAATATGTTGTGTGTGGAGTTTCATTGATTAATTCTGCTCCATTTATCTCGAAATCGAAACAGTTCGTGTGTAACATATGGCGAACAGAACTAATGTAAAAATTATTACTTGTTGGGATCGATTTTATATTGTATTCATAATATTTTGTCAGCTTTAGTTATAGTAAAATAAATTACTAATGCAAATGGCCTGATGGACCATTTGCCTAATACTAATTAGCATCATTCCTAACTGATGTCTTCCAAAAATTTCCAAAATCAGTTTGAAATTGTTTACAAAAACGTCAGCAAAATGTATTACCTAATTTTAGCTTGAAATTGGTTTCGTATAAATATTTTTTTTTAATTATAATAAATAGCTTTTTCATAATTTTTTGTTCTGGAACTCCAAATTTGGTGTTAAGATAGCTCTCACTCAATCCAATAAATACATTTAATTTTGCATAGTTTAACAATTTATTTACCAAATTACAAAATTACACTAATGTTTATCCATATTAGCAACAATTCTTGGATAAACTAAATCAATTGCATCGACTCCCATCAGAAAATCAACATGAGACCACAAAGTATGATTTACTTTGTATAATTCTTTCAAATTTGGAAGTTGTTCTGCTAAATACTCCACATCCTAAAAAATAGAAACATAAACCATACATACATTATTAATATAAATATAAATTAATTGAAAATAATATAAAAATTACTGTACATATACGAAACCCTCTTGAGGTTTGTTTTAAAAGATGTTTAATCATGGAAAATGAAAAAAGATTTAATAGATTAATAATCACTTTTTAACTTCCCGTAGGGTAAGTTATTGTAATGGGCCGAAAATCGGAATTGAAAATTTTTGCATTTCTCGACGTTTTGAAGGTTTCTGAACGTTTTGGCATACTTCAGAAAAAATGGATGTGTGTGTGTGTGTGTGTGTGTGTATGTATGTATGGATACAAATTTTCGCCCACGTTTTCGGGCGTACGGATCAACCGATTTGAATGGTTTAAAAAACATTCGATTCCTATTAATAAGGAGAAGAGCTGATTAGTTTTTGGCAAAGACAGGTCCAGCAGTTACGGAGATAAGGAGCAAAGAGTGCAGAAAATAGAAATCGAGTTTTTGAGAGAACGGAGCATCCGATTTGAATGATCTAAAAAACATTCAATTAGTAATGATTGGGAGAAGGGGTTATTAGTTTTTCGCAAAGGCAGGCCCAGCCATTTCGGAGATACAGAGCTAAATGTACAAAAAATAGCAGTTTTTGAGAGAACTAAGCGTCCGATTCAATTGATTCAAAGAACTTTCTGCTTGTCTTAACAAAATAATTGATTTTGAAAAAAAAAAATTGTACCATTTTTTTTTTTTTTTTTTTTTTTTAATTTTTTTATATCTCGAAAATAATTCAGATTTATTTTTAATTCTGACTATAGTTCTAATATACTTTAAACAAATAATTTCAACTCTGCAATTCAGTTTATATAATTCTTATAAATATTAGACAATGTTACAATATTTATAATGATCTATTTGAAAACATTCAATATTCCTCGAACATTTCGTTACGGTACGGGAAGTTCCAGCAATTTGCCTTAAGGCACGATGCCACCCACCCCACTAGTTGTAATTTAAATTTGATCATAAGAGACGGTTTGGGTGGATTGCAATATTTTTAATATGTATTACTTACCAATTATAAAAATTTCTTTTAATTATTGCTACACAAAATTAGTATAATTAAAATTGAATATTTTTATATTTTCTTACCTTATATGAGACTATTACATCAGCTTTGGAATAATACAAATACACCGGAGTTGTAATCAATGACAAATCGTATTCTGGAGGATGAATCTGTCCATAAATTTGGTAATTTTTTATCAAACCGTAGTCAAACTTTTGGAATTTTCCTGAAAAAAATAATAAAAATACGGAAAATAATATTTTATTTTATTATAAATTATTTCCAAGATCGGTTTGCAATCAATATTTTTAGTTTTACCTGATTTTACCAATTGTGCAAAGTGAAGCAATTCCTTTGCAGATCCACCAGATGGAATGTTTTCTAAAATTTCAGGAATTAAAGTCTGAAAAAGAATAAATATTATTATTTTTTAATTTTATATTCAACAAAAGTATGTTTAAAATAAAAATAACGTGTTTTTTAATTGATGTCGAAAAACAATTTGAGAACAGGAGACATTTAGTCAATCATTCTTAAAATTTATTTTAACAATTTAATGATTTTTCAAATACAAGCTATCGTTTTTTTAATTTATTATAACCGCTTCATTGAGCAATTTGAAAAATTGTAAATATTAGGTAAATATATAAATGTTTTAAATATTTTTAAACCTGAAAATGTTTAATACTAATTTATTTATTTCTATAACTTTTAACAATTTGTTTCAATAGTTTCAAATACAGCAAATTTGTGTAAAATGTAATAAATGAAATCTTATATTACTCAGCTAATAATATTTGCACAACTTTATTAAATGTAGCATTTCACGT